CTAAAACTCTTTTATGATACCTGGGGTCTCTTCTGGTGGCATAAGGTTCAGTGATGACACCATGAAAAAAGGGGAATTCTAACTCCAAGGTGTGATGTCCATCAACTAACACTATGTAGGATTATAGGGAAAGAAAGAAACATTCTGAAGTGAGAAATTAAACAATTTGAATTAAGATTTTAAAAACTGACAAAGAAATGCCCTGGAGTACATAATTTTCATTTTGTATGAAAGCCATTGTCTACTGGGAGGCTGTTTTGATTCCCTGCCCTTTATTTCTCATCTGTAGCATCGATTCTCATTTTCTAACACAGACTGTTTTGACCACCAAAAAGTGTAATTCAGCATTCTCATCTGCCAGCTCTCTTCTCTGAGAGATGAACGCGAGAGCAGGGCACGGCTGGCAGATCCCCCCTGTACATTTCAGCCACGGAGCCCACACAAACGCATGCATAGGACACGGGAGTTGTGTATCTCAACGGATAAGAACATACAGTTTAATCCAAAAGCCCTTTAAAGAGAGACTATCAGGATTGCAGACAAGGCCCAGACAGAATTTATGGTTGATTTAACCTTGTAAAAATTCCCTAGGTCAGCACAGTCCAGTATGCTTCATCGTACAATCTGCAGTGAATTCCTTCCAGAAACCGCACTATATAAGCAGAACCCTCCATGACCTTCTTTGTTTGGAGCTGGTATAGCCATCTGCAACTGCAAAAGCAATCATTTTAAGTACTCAAGATGAACACCTAGGGCAACCACTAGCACCATCACACAAGCAGCTTCCAACAAAAAAATGCCATGTGCCAAGTGGGGTCGAGGGTTTGCAATAGCTGCTGTTGGCAGAAAATAAAACCAGTTCAGGGAAAGAAAGGCCCTGGAGTTTCTCTTCATTGAAGATCAGTAACACCAGTCGTGTCTGATTCTTTCATAACTCCTGCAAAACTACAGTTCCAAGCTCACTCCCCTCCTGCAAGATTTGGGATATTGTCCAGGTGCCAGGAAAATTCGACTACATAAAAGGAGCCCTGGGACTTCATGTCTTGCAGGTGGAAGAGTTCCATGGAAACTAGGGCAGTTGGTAACCTGGAGTGAGGCAGAACTAAAGGGGAGATACAATCTCCTTCTTGGAACACCCTCTCACTCCATAACCACCTTCATACTGTCAACTCCAATGTGGGAAGAGACTATCCAAAGGCCATGACTCAAAGCTGGGTGTTCAAGGGCTCCTCTGCAGCCGGGTCTGTCGCCCCTCCCCATGTGTGGCCTCAAGGGGTGATAGAAATAAAACCAGCTGCAAACCAATGCCTTCCTGCTGGCCACACCCTCTCCAGGGACCAGGCACTCAGGGCTCTGTCTGCATGGTATGAGCAGGTACAGGTGGGCATGTTTCAGGCACAGTGGGAAGAGGGGGCTACATGCAGCAATGACTAAGAGAACTGGATACTGTCAGGGGACATTTAAAAATAGTTATAAACTCAGATTTTAAAAAGATTCAACTGGATTTTCTGTTTAAAAAGCACTTACCAGAAATAACTCTTTCTCTAGAAAATACATGTTTTAAAGTGTTAGTCACTCAGTTGTGTCCAGCTCTTTGCGACCTCATGGACTGTAGCCTGCCAGGCTTCTCTGTCCATGGAATTCTCCAAACAAGAATACTGGAGTGAGTAGCCTTTTCCTCTCTGGGATCTTCCTGACCAGGGATCAAACCCGGGTCTCCCACATTGCAGGCAGATTCTTTATTGTCTGAGCCACCACGGAAGCCCTATAAATATTTATATAGACAGAAGGAATCTGAAAAAACAGTTAAATTCTTAACTGTAGGGGTGGGAGGTACAGATGACCGGCTGTAAGAGGGCTCAAGGACATATTGTATGACATGGTGAAGGCTGTCAGTATCTTGTAATAACTACACATGCAAAGTAACCTTTAAAATTGCATAAAATAAAATATTTTAAAAAGTCTTCATTGTAAAGGCCACACCACACATGTCTCTATTCTCTTCACATCTAGTACATTTCACCCAGATGTCTAATAGATGCTCAAGGAGATGGTACAGGATAGGTGACTTGAAAACAGACACTTAGTATTGTAAACATTTCTGCAATTGGATATTTTCCAATTATCTAGTATTGTTTTATTTGTCATTGATGCCTACACACAAAAGAAGTGAACTATTAAATTCTATGAACATTTACTTTAAGACATAAATTAAATTTAAATACACAAAGCACAAATTTTAAGTTATAATTCTAAAATGCAAGGTTCATGACCATTAAATTTGAGAAAACATACTGTCAGTTTTTAAAAGTTATCTTGTTCAGTCGCTAAGTTGTGTCTGAACCTTTGAGACCCCAAGGACTGCAGCATGCCAGGCTCCTCTGTCTTCTACTACCTTTTGAAGTTTGCTCAGATTTATGTCCATTGAGTCAGTGATGCTATCTAACCATCTCATCCTCTGCCGCCCCCTTCTCCTTCTGTTACATTTTATAAATAAGTTATAGCAAGCCACTGATTACATTAGAACCTTAATCTTATGAAGTTCCCATGGACATCTATATATAATTTAGAAAGATTAAATAAATCATTCTATTCAATAGAGGCTTATGCTCTAACTAAAAAAAAAAAAGTCCCATCTAACATTAAAAGAGATGCTGAGTTTCAGTTTTCAAAGCGTAGCGCTGGTCTCTAGAGATAACTATTGCTAGACATTGCATATTATTATTTATTATAGAAAAAAAAACATAGTCCAAACACAAACTTGCTTAAATAAAGACATTAAGGTATTTACTGTTTTGGGTGATACTGCTTGTCCTAATAATTCAAGTTCGTGAAAATGTGCCCCAAATAACCATAGTTAACCTAATCACTCACCCAGTGTTCACTAGATGACTAGGTACTGTATCCTGACCACCCACCTGGGCACAGTGCCCTGAGCCCAGAGAAGACATGAGAAGTCTGCCATGTGGCTCTTGGAGGGCTTCATAACTTGGCAAGTAAACCCGAAACTTAGAGAGATCATTTTAGAAAGCAACCAAGACGAGGTAGTAGGCGCACAGACTGCCTTATTACAGCAGGGGTAAAGTGAGAGAAGAGGAAGATAAGAATGGAGGGACATGCACATCTCCCTAACATTCCAGGGGACAGAACGGGCAGGGGTGGGCACCTCCACTGTGCACGGAAGTGCGCGGCCGCTTGTCATGAGCTCAACCAGACCCCTGCTCACACGTCACCATTTTCACTTGAAACAACTACTGACACACAAACCAAGGTTACTCAGACGAGTACTGGAAGACATTTTCTCAAAAATGAATGAAGCAAACACAGTTTCAAGGAAAATACTTTGTAGTATTTGTGGCCAATGATGAAATCCAAGATTTCAAGAGAAAACTGGCGTTTCAGAAACCTGCATCCACCAATGTGAGTATAATTGCTTTCAGTACTTAAAGACTCTTCTGATGAAATCCTGGAGATGGCCACACACACAGTTTTAAATATTACGTAAAAAATGTGTCGGTATGTGGAAGGTTCTACATAACTGAATGGGCCAATATTTTCTAAATGACCAACAGATGTAAAAAATCATGCATGAGTAAATGATTCAACAAAGTGCAAGACAAACCAAGAATCGTAATATAACCAAGTGTGAAAAGCTGATTAGTATGTTTTCAGAATTCATATTCACAACTAACTTTAAAAAGAAAGATGCTACTTGTCAAGTTTTGGTATAGTGTTAAAAAAACATCCACAACTGTCTTGAAGGTCTACTAAAATACTCCTCCCCACACATCTGGGTGAGGTTGGATTTTCTTTATATACTTCAATAGGAACAGTGTATTATAATAGATCAAATGCAGAACAGGTATGAGAATCCAACTGTCTTTTATTAAGGCAGATATTAAACAGATTTGCAAAAAAAGTATAAAATACTGCTCCTCTCAATTTTTTTTTGTTTTTTATTACCATAAGTATTGATTAATACAGTAATACAAGTAAAAGAGCTTTGAGGAATGTAACAATTTTTAGGAGTGTCAAGGGGCCTGAGACCAAAAACATTAAATTTCTAGATGATCTAGAAGTAGACTTCCAAACCACAATGTCTGATTAGTAAGAGTATAATGTACCAAAATAGATAAACAAAGACGTACTATACAGCACAAGCAACTATATTTAATATATTGTAATAACCTATTGATGCACATTAATTTGGGTGAACTCCAGGAGTTGGTGATGGACAGGGAGACCTGGCATGCTACGATTCATGGGGTCCCAAAGAGTTGGACACAACTGAGTGACTGAACTGAACTGAACTACCTATCATGGAAAAGAATCTGAAAAAGAATATACATATATATATATATAACTGAATCACTCTGCTATACATCTGAAATTGATACACTGTAAATCAACTATACTTCAATAATAATAATAATAATAATAAAGAATGCATTGGTAACTCCAACTATAACCAACATGGATACAAAACCATCATTTATTTGGTCTGATATGAAACTAAAACTTGGAACGTTTTCAGTCTGGGTGTAGGCATCTGTTCAGCAATTGAGTATGAATTAACTAAATTTCAAATGTTTTAGGTGCTCTAGCCTTTGGAGCCCCACACTGCTCTAGACCGGACCCAACAGTATGAATTAAACTGTAGCACGCTTCAGGTTTTTAAGCAGAATATGCAAGTGGGTCTTATTTTGTTTTCCAGATGAGAGAATACTCTTTTTCCTTTAAGTCTTCATTACTTCTCTCTAGGCTAACCTTGCTAATCTTGCAATGTTTCTTCCAAACTGAACCAATTTAAAGTGAAAAAGGACACAATTAAAATAGTAATAATTATGCCAGAACACCAGGGACAAATCTTGAGTGTCCTTAACAAACAAGGACATATGGTCACCCAACTTCTCCCTAGGCCACCTCCCTCAAGTCTGACCAATGTACTTTCCTGCTACCCAGAGCATCTATCCCAAGCCGTCGACATGCTTCTCTCTTACCAGAAATGTGGAGGACCACCAGACTCCACACTTCTCCACCTCGATGCTGCCCTCTGTCTCCTCTGTCTCTTCCATCTCCCCTTGTTCTCAGAGGATGCAAGGAGAACAAGATAACAAACAAGGATGCAGGCTCTGCTCTCCTCTGATCCCTGCTTTATCCAACAAGCAGATCTTTGCTGGCATTCTCCCTCTCTCTTCTGTATTTTCCCCTTCCAATGAGCCACAGACACTGTAGTTTTTCCTTTTCAAAAAGTCTCCCCTAGACCTCAAGGCACTTTTTTCTCTTTTCCTTCCAGTGCCCTTGCTTTCTCCTGCTAATTTCATGCCAAACCTCTTTCCGGGCACCTTTCCCCAGTGTCACTAGGCTAGCACAGCTTAAGAGCCAGGACTCAAACCCAGGTCCAACGATGACATACCAGTGTCTGTCCAGTCCCTCTTCATTACCCTCACTTCTGCCTATACATGAGACACATGCCCAGAATTACACAGCTAGCCCTGGCCTTTTTCTTAGCCCCAGAGTCGGACAAATAAAACTGTCCACTTTAAATTTCTATCTCAAAAGTCCACCTCTAACCAAACCCAACTCATTATCTTTCCCAAGCCTGCTCATTAACTCTCATTCTTAAAGATGCTGTCCCAGATGACCAAGCCAGAATCCTGGGAAATATCATCTCCATCACACCTGCTACACACACACACACACACTCTCTCTCTCTCTCTCTCTCTCTCCCCTCCAGTAACTATACACTGTCCCCTCTCCCTAAACACCTCTTCCACCCATTCTTTCCTTAAATCACTATACTGTTATAGTTGGTGCTTAGTCACTCAGATGTGGCAGACTCTTTGTGACCCCATGGACTGCGGCCTGCCAGCTCCGCTGTTCATGGGGATTCTCTAGGCAAGAAAACTGGAGTGGATTGCCATTTCCTTCTCCAACTGTTGTAATTAGGTGCTTACAAATTTCACCGAGATACTGCAATCGAGGTGACTTGGTTTCCTTGTGACTGGCTTGACCCTTACAACCCATTCCTCTCTTATATCAGCATCATCTTTATACAGCACACATATGATGATGCCACTTCCTTCTTAACACTGGGTAACACTTCAATGGTTTGCTGTCCCAGCTAATGAGATAATCAAGCAAAAGCTCCTGAAATGGGATATAAAGACTTTGAAGCATTCATTCTCCCTGCGTCCCTGTCCCTCCTCACGCATGTTCTCACCCGAGGCTTATGGAGGTGCCGGTCCCCTCCAGTCCACTGTGTTGCTCCACTCACTGCCACCTCTGCACACGCTTCCTCTTCTGGAAGAAACACCTGTCTTCATTGCTGTCATCTTCATGAACTCCTACATGTACTGCAAAATCCACGTCCCTCAACAAGGTCTTCCCAGATTCTTAAACCTTCTTCCAAGCTTCTAGTGAACATTATGGTTTCTATATAGAACAGTGCATCAATTATTTCTTTACTTGCTTGTTCCCTTGCTATGTTGTAAGTTCTTCAAGGGAGGGACCAAATTTTACAAAAACTTTCTTATGCTCAATACCTGGAAGCAATAGGTGTCCAATAGAGTTATGTTGGCTGAATGAATAAATAGCTTATAAGTGAACTCCAACCTCAGAGAATAGGAGCAAAAGCAACTTGGTTAGGATGGTCCTAATCCTTTAAGAGCAAAACCACATAAAGGTGTTATTTGCCTGCCAGGACCAAGTATTCTAATGGAAAACATGTTAGAAATACTCATTTTTTAGCATTACACAAATATTTTTAGAACATATTACACTGACTTGCTTCATATAGAAGACAGGGAAGAGAAGATACCAAAGGGATGTGTAGCAGCTGTAGTTTCCATTTGCTAAAAAAAGAAAAAAAAGTAAGCTATGGTGCCAGAAGCAGAAACTCACAAATGCAGCATGGCAGAAATGCAGCCAGGCCACGCTGAGATTTCTGCAGCCCTTAAACTTGGATTATGTTTTCAAAGGCAAGGCCTGTCACCCCACACACAGGCTATGTCAAGGAGTGAGGCCTAAACTCTGACCCTGAAGCTCAGAGAGCAATTAGGCTGTCTCCAGAGACAGTGTGGGATGTCTTCCCAGAGCTCATTAAAAAGATTCTTAAACCTTTGGCTGCTTCCAACCATGTCCTATCTTTCTCTTGCATGTGTGCTAAGTCGCTTCAGTCGTGGCCAACTCTGCAGCCCTGTGGACTGTAGCCCACAAGGCTCCTCTGTCCATGGGGATTCTCTAGGCAAGAATTTTGGAGTGGGCTGTCAAGCCCTCCTCCAGGGGATCTTCCCGACCCAGGGGTGGAAGGTGCATCTCTTATGTCTCCTGCATTAGCAGGTGGGATCTTTACCACAAGCACCACCTGGGAAGCCAGATTTTCTCTTGAACCCACTTCCAGTCTTCACCCACATGATTCTGTCCTCATGCGTGCTCTCTACTGGAACAGAAGGCAGAATGCGGCAGGAGTGTTCTGCCCAAAGTTAGAGGTGATCGAGGACTTTCCAGGTTGCTCAGTGGTAAAGAATCCAGCTGCCAAGCAGGAGACTCAAGTTCGATCTTTGAGTCAGGAAGATTCCCTGGAGAAGGAAATGGCAACCCACTCCAATATTCTTTCCTGGGAAATCCCATGGAAGTGGAGCCTGGTGGGCTACAGTCCACGGGGTAGAAGAGAGTCAGATACAATTTAGCGACAAAACAACAAGAGGTGATCGAATACCCACTGTGTCTCCTTCATCCCTCTCACCTCCCACTCCCTGCACCTGCAGCCCTGATGAGGACTCTTGTGCGCCGCGGCGGCCTCTCAGCATGCATTTTCCATCCTTCCCAAGTCAGCTGCTGAGCTGTGTTAGGCTCTGAGCTGATGGGCTCATAGGATCTAGCTGTGCACTCACTGGATCAGAACAGACCACAGGGGCTGATGAGAGTCACAGCGCTGAGTGAAACTGAAGGCAGATTGTTGCTAACATGGGCCTGGGTCTTCCAGCAGAATCTGCTCCTTCGTGAAGAGCCTTCCATGGAAGTTGATGACCAAGGGGAGGACAAGGATTACAAACAGATACAGATGCCCCTGGCCCATCATTTCAACTTTGTTCAGCTACTGGGCTGAGTGCGGGGTCTTCGAAAATGTGTCTCAGTCAGGTAATGCTGTGGCTTTTCCTACCCAGTGCCAAGCTGACTTGTAAGTGAACAATTCACAGAATCTGTCAGGCGATGGAATGTCTCCTGACCACATACAATTGACTAGTCACTTTCAGCCTTCCCAGCAGAGAGTACATCTTCACTTACAAGGAATGATTTCAGGATCATGAAGATGGTCAGTTCGACTTGGCTGTAATTTCTCTCTCTTGAGCTCCCAGGAGAATTGCTTGACTGGCCCACGGTTTTTGCAAATTGACAAGAGGCCCTCAGTAGGCCTCTGTATTTTTCTTAATCTGATTTCAGCTGACGTTTTCAGGTTCTGGCCATTCCCCTTGTATTAATACATCTAGGGCTTGGGTCCTTGATTCAAGAGCCAACTGGAGGCTTTAAAAAGGTCATTATTCTCAAGCTTGTCATCTCAGAGAACCTACATGGGTCATGATGTCCCAGGGAGGACGACCAGCGCCCTACCTGACTTTGCTCCTACTTCTAGAATTTTGTGTTCAATATCCTATTGTCTTGTTGGTCATATCCTGCTCCTACTATGTATCAGATCAAGATGTGATCCCTCAACCAGGCATCCAAGGCCTTCAAAACCTACTCAAATCTCAGCTGTCTAGACTTTTCTCCCCCAAAATGGGCATGATCCATTTGCCAGGCTCATTCAACCTCAGACCTGTCTTCCATCATCCTTTCCTCCCCACACAGGAGGTCTTTTCCTAGATTGCTGAGTTCATTCTGCCCTGAATCTATTCAAATTTATTCCATATCCTTCTTCCTTCATACAGTCTCCTTAGGCTCCTTTAGTTCAGAGATCTCTCTCTTGATGAGTAAAAAACTGTTAAAAAAAAAAAAAAAACAGCAAAAACTGCCTGAAAATTTGGGAACAGAGCATACTCCCATCTTTAAGTTCTCTGATTGTCTTTTGTGTGTTAGTTGTGCCTCCTCAATGAATGATAAATTCCTTAATGGCAGGTAAAGAGTGGCATGATTTTTACCTATTCCCAATGCTTAGATTGTTGCTGGCATATGAAAGATGCTTAATAAAGACCTGCTCCAGTGAATCTAATATAGCAACTTCGATCATAAGTGATCTTCTCAACAGGAAATACCAAGTGAGCAGGCTGGTGTCATAGCTCACCAACTCCCAAGTGCCTCATTCAGTTTCCAAATAGACAAGACCACACATGTAACCATTCATTTGTTACACCCAAATGGACTGATTTTAAATCAATTTAAATATGATGTGTAACTCATTCCATTTTTTCAAAAAGTACATTACATTTTTTTGGTATCTTAATTCATAGCTTCATAACTCAAGATATATTCATTTAAACTGGACCTGTCTAAAGTAACAACTTACTTTAAAAAAGTTATTTATTTATTTATTATTATTTTTGGCTGTGCTGGGTTTTCATTGCTGCACGTGGCTTTCTCGAGTGGTGGCAAGTGGGCACTACTCTCTACGTTCCATTGTGGTGCCTAGTCTTGTTGTAGAGCACAGGTTCCAGGGTGTGCAGGCTCAGTAGTTGTGATGCATGGGCCTAGCTGCCCCACGGTATGTGGCATCTTCCCCGACCAGGGATTGAACCTCTATCCCCTGCATTGGTAGGCGGATTCTTAACCAACTGGACCACCAGTGAAGTCCTTTACTTCCATATTTTTAAAAATTATTTTTTACCGTAGCAAAGCTGACTCAGGCTTTACATAGTTTATTTTAAATGAAGCAGACCGTATACTGTTTTTCCTTTTAGTACTAAAGTGGCTGAACCAGAGGTGTTCACTGTGCCTCACATTTCTCACTGCCTACTTTTAATCATTCCCAGCCTTTTAAATTCTGACTTTTATGCAAATACTCCCAAATATATGCTTCCCAACTTCACCTTTCTTCTGACAGTCAATTTCAGATCTTCTACCAGAATATCTTTTTCAA